CTTTCCCCCCCCCCCCCACCCACCTCAAAAAGTGAATTTCTGCCACTGTTTGGTATGGGCTACATGTTATAACGAGTTAATAGACAGGGGAAGTAGGGAACATGCATGATCGGTAACAGTGGCGGCAGAACAGGTCTTTCTGCTAAATGCAAACACCACACTGGCAAAACATGATCAAACTATCACAGCAGTAGTTTAGGAAGATGTTTAAAGTTAGGAGAGAAATGGAAAAAGCTCACCAACACTTTTTAACCCAGACATAGTACAGGTTAACCCATTTTAGAGTGGCATAGCCCCCCTGTGAAAGGTGCTGAAGCCCCTCCCACCCCCAGTTTAAGGGAATATTTCATTGATCACAATGTTGGTATTTTTGTTTACTTTGCCTTTTAGCTGGCGATTGAGAATATTCATATTACTGTCTTCCTCCGATTGTTTTTGGATTTTTTTTTTTTTTTTGGGGGGGGGGGGGTTTCCCTTCTAGGGGGGGGGGGCAGGCCATAGCCCCTAGCCAACCCTATTCTACCACCCCTGATCAGTAATTTGGATGCTGCTGCTCACACAATGTGGTCCTTAGTTGTTCACCAGGCAAAGTGCTAGCAAAGGATATTAATTGTGAATAAAACAACAGTCACACAAGGAACAGGAAATGAAGCTGGTACCCCATTGTGCAAATCAATTATGCCAGCAGACATTGTGACGGCCTTCAATAATTTGCTTTACTTCATATTTTCCCATCTGAACATGCATTATTGACAAACGTAATTCTATAATGCGGTTTGTTTGTTTTGATCTTGCTTTAATTTATTCCTTAGAATAATGGTGTAATTTATTTTTATAATTTTAAATTTTTGCACCGTCATGATCGATAGGTCAGGAATAATTAGACAAGCATAACTAGATAAGAGTGTTTGACACACACTAGCTGGTTTGACACAATTGTTCTGCTACGGTTGTGACTTACTCTTTAGCAAATTATTCTATATACTGTAGTTTTATTGTGTTAAATTGTTAGGTGTGTGGTCTGCACCTACTGCCTAGAAACAATAGTTTAAATATTTCAGACATGCAGTTACAATATGGCTTGGCATAGTGGCATAAGAGCTTTCATTCTCTGCCTATAGTCTGGTATATGGCAACTACTGTATGTATTTTCATGGATGTATAACATGATCTGTTCATATATATTATACAACTTCGTCTAGACATGATACAGACTGTTATTTTTCTGACATATGCAAGTTTGCATCTTTTGAAATTAGCATGGATTATATAATTTGCATGAAAATGAACCTTGACCTGTTCTGAATAGCATAAACATGTGCTGCTTGTGTGTTAATGGCTATTAATACTTTAAATTAACCAACTATTATTTAAAATCATGTTTATTACTTTTAAAAGCCAGACAGAAGTTTGTTGGTATATATTTATTTTTCTGGATATGATTTATCTAGCAATTACTAAGAAATATTGCTTACTAAGCATTTTTCAAAAAAATGCTTGCTAATTAAATTACATTTTTCATGTGCATGCCCCTGCTGACAAATCACTGTGGCTTAAATAAAGGCTTGGCCAAGGTCAAGACAAAATCTATTCCATACAAGGTCACTAGAAAAGTATGGGTGGGTAAATTGCAAATGATGTCACTAAATTGTTAAAAATTAAAACTATAAAGCTACCTGTTTTAAATATTCTGTATATATCAATACAAGGAGTGTTCACCAAAATGTTTGAGTAGATGCAATAATTCCCTTTTAGTTACAGAGTTTGAAAAATATTAAATTGCTGATGTCATCATTATTTGTTAAAACTACATTAATGTACAAAAGCCTAATTTAAAACATCTCACTCGATTTAATAGTTGAAGGGTGTTGTCAGGGTCAGATTAACCATGGGGCAGATGTGGCATATGCCGCGGACCTCGCGCTTATGGGGGCCTCGCGCTTTACTGTACCATGCCTATTTTTACGAGAACACGTCCATTTTCTATTGGGACATGCCCATTTTGGGTGCCTCACAAATTAAGATGCCTCGCAAATTTAGGGACCTCTCGCATTTAGGGCCCTAGGTTTTCATGTTGGGGGGGGGCCTTGCGCTGAAAATCTGCCACGGGCCTCGCACGACGTTAATCCGGCCCTAGTCAGGGTTCTCCTTATCAGGCGGTAACCGGTAAAATTTACCGTTTCCACGACCACTGATTACTGCCTGGAGAAGCCTAGAGTTTGTGTAGATTTGTTAAGAAATAATTAGTAATACGGTGTGCAACAACAGTGGCATAGCCAGCCCGACGATTCAGTCCCGTTATGCAAATATTGCCATGTTCATCTGAAAAAGTCCTACGAAAATCGGGAAAAAGTGCTACAAAAGCAATTGTAATGTTATTGTCGTGAAAAATTTTTTACCTAAAGTTAAAAAGTTGTTGATGGGGGGGGGGGAGATTTAAAATGTTGTTGTCCAGAATATTTTTTCCTCATTTGGGGACCCCCTGGAGGTTTGTAGGTGCGACTTGACGCTTATACCTGTTGAAAAGCCTGTTTTATCTGTTCCATTCACAACTGTGGAGAACCCTGGGTGTTGTTGATGGAAATTATCGAGCAGAAATTTATATACATTTTATTAGACCTAACCGAACAGCTGCGAAAAATGCAACTTTAGGTCCCTGGCAGGAATTGAACCTGTGGCCTTGCGACTAAATCCCATTTTCCAGCCATTTTTTAGGCTAGTCCCAGACTCCCAGTCCAAAAGGTGGAAAATCCTAGTTCGACCCATTTTACCCCTTAAGGGTCCTCGATCGATCTCCATATTGCGTGGTGGACAATGGACAGGACATATCCAATACTTAATTCTAATAACGTTGACATCACCTGATCACCAGATAAAAATTTTCAAACCTCAAGTAACTGTATCCAAACATTCTTGCACAGAATAGAGACACTATAATTTTAAAAAGAACAAAACAATAGGCACTCCGAAAATAGTTAACATTTTATTCAACGTTTCGACTAGGTTTCAGTCATCATCAGGATTCCTGATGATGACTGAAACCTAGTCGAAACGTTGAATAAAATGTTAACTATTTTCGGAGTGTCTATTGTTTTGTTCTTTTTAAAATTACTCAATGGCAACCGTAATTTCAGAGACAATATAGAAGTCTGACTTCTTATTGATGCCTATGATTTTGGTATAATCATTGCAATGCTGTCGCCATCACCCCATGTTCCTACCCAGTGCGCTTACGAGGCATTGACCCCCTGAAAAAATATTTAAAAAGCAGGCATTCAGGGGGTGAATGCATCTCGTAAGTGCACTGGCCAGGAACGTAATCATGGCGTGGAAGTTCTGCTTTTTTGGCTGATTCAGACTTCTGTTTATATTCTGTGACCGCATGTACCATCCTCTTTTGCATGCAAGGTTGAATAGATAAAAATATTGTCAATGATATAGATCATGCAAAACTTCAAAGGTTTCGAATTATATTTCAACCATACCTTTGGTCGATGCGATTAGATTTTATAAACCGATTAGATTATTAAAGTGGGCCAAGTAGCCAACTTAAAGTTTCATGTGAGAATAGTTTATCCTTCCACTTAAGACTCAACACTCAAAAGTAATTTTAGTCATGTTAGTGGTAGTTTAGTATGTTCACTTGTGTGTGTATTTCAGTACTTTCATGACAT